AATTACAAGAAGATTCTCATTCATTTGTATTTCTTTAAAATACAATTTTTGACGATTTCTGTATTTTAATACGTGAAATCCGTCATACATTAACATTAAATAATGAGTAGGTTAATGCCTTTATATGGTTTTTATTTGGTTCAGATTAAAATTAAATTTTTAATACTTTTTAATAAAAGAAGATGAAATATACAGTTGGAAGTTGTGAATCTAATGAAATATGGGACTAAAATAAATGGTTGACTTTAACTTGAAATTTTAATTTATTTTTAATCTACACCAAATATAGGAATATTTTTTACCATTAAAATAAGAATGACGCACTGCAAATCTTGGCTTTTCTATAGTGTCAAGCCATTAATTAATTAGTTAAATAGAGTACTTAAGAGTAAAGCAGAAGGAATTGAATGTATTATTGGCAAGTTCTAACTAATCTACTTTTATGAATTATTTGCATCATAGTCCTTATATTCTCTCCAATATTGCATATAACCGACATTACTAAAATTTGTGGTGATCATGTACTGTTGTCTGTTGTTAGTGATGTGCTTTGCACCAAATGTACAAGGATGTCCAATTAAGACATGTTCGTTATATTGAGATGACATGATTACAGAGGATAAAAGAAAAAGTTTCTCGTGTTTCTTTTTTAATCTAGTTTACGTATACTTAGTAAACAACTGGTTATTCCTATTTGTGTGTTCTAATTGAAATGGAAATAAGTAAAATTTATTTATTTTCTTTCTACCAATAATTATCATGAACACAAAAGGAAATTATTTCTTGTCCTTTGATCTCCAAAAGAGAATGATTTCACTTTTATGCATGCCAATGTCTCATTTAAACTTTAAATTAAAACCTAGCGTGGTCTCCAAATATGGCTTTTCCAAAAGAATCAATTCTTTACATTAGAAAAATTATTGAAGCACTTTCTAGAATAATGTTTTTTTTTCTCATGGTGGATAATAACATACATCACATGTTCGTTATGCTATATTGAATTGAAAAAAAAATTATTTGATTAAACGTATTAAATATGCTGGTAAAATTACTTTTAACACTCTTTTCGTCGCTCAAATAAGAGGAGGAAATCCCTAAGAAAAATGGTAAACATGGAAATTACACACACAATAAAATGATGAGTGAGACTAACAAGTATATAATGATTAAAATCCCATTTAGTTGTGAAAATATGAATAGAAAAGGAAACGAAAAAGAAAAAGATGGACAATATGATGAAACTGCCATTCTTTAATGGGCCCTGCCTACACCTTACACGCGGTGTGGTCCAACAACTTCTTTTTTACTTTTTCTTGGTTTTTGTTGGGCCCCCAACTGGAAAATAATTTAAAAAGATGGAGTGGAGGTTTTTTGGATCCAAAGTTGACCCTGGTTAGTATCTGACCACCTTAGGGTGAACTAAGTTGTTCCGAGTAGAAGAAATTTTGGTGTAACTAGAGTATAAAAAGAGAATTTAATTTAGTTGAAGAAGATATTTAAAACTTAAAATGATAAAAGTTCAAAACATATATTATAAAATAATAATTTGGACAAAAGTGAACAAGCAAAATGTCAGAATGAGACTCTTTTATGATTTTTTTTTTTAATTATGTGTATGTCGATCGTTGCTCTCAAAGTGGAAAGGTTCATAATATCCAGTAAAATGATTTTTTTGAGGCCGTCTTGCGACACCCCGAACTGATCCGATGATGGTAACAAGATTGACTACGTTCTTACATGAGAGATTATGTACAAGAAAACATAGAATTGTAAATCATGTTTCTTATTTGTTAAATTACTAAATCATTTGAAGTATACATACTTGCCTTTGGACATTTGCCCTCTTCTTTTTACCCTTCAAAATCACCAATTGTTGATGGGTGAACAAAACTTTAAAATTTAAGAAATGAAAATCTCAAGTGCTTCATAAACAGCCCATAAACATCGACACACACACACACATACCAAAAAACTTTGGAATTGAAACTATGTCTGCCAACAGATTTGCAACAATTTTATATAGGAATACAAGCAAGATTACACTCATTCTGATATATGCACTTCTTGAATGGATTTTAATATTTCTTCTCCTCTTCAATTCTCTTTTTTCCTATCTGATCATCAAATTTGCACAGTATTTTGGCTTAAAACCACCTTGCATTTGGTGTACTAGACCTGATCATATCTTTGATCCTGCAAAGAACATTCACAGAAAACATTTCTGTGAAATCCATGCCAAGGAGATTTCCAAATTGGGTTTTTGTTCAAATCATCAAAAATTATCTGAATTCGGTGAAATGTGTGAGGATTGCTTGTCTTCAGGGCCAGAATTTACTTTGAAATGTGCCCACAAAAGAAATTTGATTTCGGAGGATGATGATAATCATCATATTGAAGAACGCTGCGATTTTAATGAGAAAAGATCTGGTTTTGCTACTGATTCATTTAATAAAGCTGATGATCATGGTAAGTTCCGAAATCTTATCTTAGAAATTCTTTTAAGCAAAATATGAGTTATATACAAGCGTATTTGGTATACAGTATTATACTAGAGTGTACACTAAACGAAATTTTTATTGTTTAATCCATTTTATCAAACAAGCTATAGTTGTTTTTGGTCAAGATCTTGCTTTGTATTAGGTCCTATGCGAGCCGACATTGAAGAAGACATGATTCCTAATATGCCCACTTCCGTAGACAGTCCCCATAACTTGCATGAGAAAAAGGACTATGGGACTGAAGAGTCTTTGGATGGAAATGTGACTAGTGAGTTGGAAAGTGGCGATGGAGTTGTTACAGTCGAACGCCTCAAATCAGCTCTAATAGCTGAACAAAAGGCTTTGCAGACACTATATTCCGAGCTAGAAGAAGAGCAGAGTGCTTCTGCAGTGGCTGCGAGTCAAATGGTAGCAATGATAGATCAACTGCAGGAAGAGAAGGCTGCAATGCAAAAGTCTGAATATGATCAAGAGGCTTCGCAACTTTTGAATGAGCTTATGGTGAAGAGGGAGAAGGAAAAACAAGAACTAGAGAAAGAATTGGAAGGAGTTAGGAAGAAATTGTTGGATTATGAGGATAGTGATGGGTTATCTGTTGATTTGAATCGAGATGCAAAGGAAGAAGAGGGATTTTATAGCAATCAAGAATGCAGCAAGTCGAAAATTCGGGTTGATGAAGTTATAGAAATGGAAGAATCATTAGCAGACTTTGAGGAAGAGAGGTTGTCCGTTCTAGTACAACTTAAGGTTTTAGAAGAAAAACTTGTGGCATTGGAACATGAAGAGGAAAGACGTTTTGAAGGTTCTACACCTGTGGAAGATTTACACGAAGAGAATGGCATTCGTCTAGATGAAAACACTTGTTATAGTGATGAATCAAACGGGCATCTTCTTCAAGAGATTTTGCAACATCTTCATGATTTACGCGATGTGGAGCTTCTAGAGAGAAATTTGAATGATGGTGCTGATATGAAGTAACGTGCCTATTCGCGTGCTAGTTTAGACGTTCAATCGAGTGTTGTATTTGGAATAGTTGATTATGTTTTCTGGTATATTTTTGGTTATTGTTGATTGCAGATATAATTTCCAAATGGCTGCAGGAAGTTCCTTGATTTGTTTGGTTGGTGATCTTATTTTGCAGACAATAAAATCAGGTTTGCTCATCTTATGTTCTTCATTTTGTCCTATGAAACCCCTTTTTTTTTGTCCATCTCTGTATTTCGAAGGATAAGGGAATGATGTTTTATGTATATATATGGCATAGAGAAGAAAAATAGCTATCCTATTAATCATAGCACTATTTTACTAAATATTTATAGTATCGACTGAGTACTCAACAATATTGGAAAAGAAAAACAATCTACGATTTTATATATTAATCTATTATATTATTCGATATGTTTAGTATTGTGTACCATAACATGCCCATAAAAGCATCGAAATTCGTGTTTATATATATTTTCTCGAGGGGTAGGGATGGGTTTGTGTGAGGTACATATGAGAAAAATCGTACTTTAGAAATTTGCAAAATAATAGAAAGACTTGTGAGGTTACCAGTGATCTATAGTTGCATTCGATTTTTTAGTTGAACTAAATGGAGCAGGGAATAAAATTTAGACTATACATGAACTGTAAAATTNTAGACTATACATGAACTGTAAAATTAATTAATTTTTCACTAAGGTCGATTAATCAGTATTTAGGTAGTTCGTCAAACAATTAGAACCAATTTCGTTGAACTGTCACACAACAATTAATTCGAAATATTAACTAAATAATTAGTAATTACTTAGGTTTCAAACTTTCCAAAATGTTTAGTTGTACTGGAAAGAGATTGTCAAATAAATTAAGAAAGTTGACCTCAACACGAATAAGTGTTTATCAATTACGTGATTTGGTTGAAATAAAGTGGATGAACCACAAAGTCCTAGTGCATATCATTAGAGTTTTCTCAAGTTAATTCTCATAATGACCTCGTGCTCTTGTTTAGTTGATTTTAGTACACAAATTTCATAAGTTGCTTATTCGATTTTATCACTTTATTACTCATCACAATATTATACATTTACGATTGTCACCAACGCTTAGGGTCCGTTTGATTGCAATGGTGGAAAATATATGGAAAGAAAATGTTTTATAAGGAATTGATTTTCCTAGAAAATGTTTTACTGGGAATTGTAATTAATTGTGTTTGATTGGTAAAATTTTCTATGAAAATTGTTGAAAATTTGGTGTCCATTTGACTTCGTTTTTTATGAAATTTGTCCATTAAAATGATAATTTTTTTTCTATTGAATCTAAATTTGTTTTCATTTTTTTTTACAATACCGATTATCATTCGTTTNAAAAAATATTTTCCACCATTTGTGCATCAAAGGGTTAAACATAGAAAAAGGGAGGAAAACATTTTCCGTGGAAAATTTCCTACATCAAACGGTCAAAAAAGTGAAAGTAGGAAAACATTTTCCTACTTCCCTGAAAAATTCCGCCAATCAAACGGAGCCTTATATTTTTCAATTGATCATAAATTGACCCCCCAAAAGCCCTAAGAGGTTGGGGTTCAATTATGGTACATGTTTGCCCTAATTTAGTATTTGTACAATTTATGAGCATGTTTGGTGTACATTAAAATGAGAGAATGCATGTTTTTGAAGTGATGTGATGGGGAATATGTAGTTGAAAATGAAGGAAAAGCTATTGATGTGATAAAAAATATTATTTTATTGAAAAATGTGTGGTTGAAAATAAGTAGAAGAATGAGAATGAAAAAATATTGTGTACCAAACAAGGCCTAAATTTGTATTTTCTAAATTTGTACTTGTATTTATNATGAAAATGAAAAAAATAATGTGGAACGTGATAAACATATCTACATTGACTAGTCAAAGTTGAACAGGTATTGCACGTTATTTTGAAATATTTTATAATTGTTGTAAAAGTAATATTTAATACAAATTTGTTGAGAGGGTTTGATGAGTCTCAAACGAACTAAAGAAAATCAATTTTAGGATATGAATTTAAGATGAGAAAATTACATTCTCAAAACTCAATTTCTATAATTCAATTTTTCTGTTATGATGAAATACTACAAATTGTTAGTCAATGTAGATATGTTTGGTACATAAGAATTAATTGTTAGTGCATGAATTTAAACATTCATTAAAATTCTTAAATACATGAATATAAATAAATTCATTTGAAAAATGCTGGTAGGCCAGGGTGAAGAACAGACTAGAATCCAGGTGGTTGAGGTGTCAACATCTTAGCCCCTGATTTAAAGGAAGAGGACCCCACATGAATTAAAATCAAGGGCCGAGGTGCATCCACCTCGGCCCCCTGGATTTGGGCCTGATTTTGGCCCTGGATCTGCAGCATCTCTCTATTTAATATATTATACATGTACATATACAATCAAAATTATCTCGTTCGCTCTAGGATGACAAAACAAATGATCCTAAATTTAGCGACGAGTGTTTTATTATCCTACGTTGGGAATATCTCATAAATCGTATAAAAAAAATATAATAATAATAATAAAGATAGAAATTGGAATAATATGAGAGAATATGATGACTTTTAGACCCACAAATACTAAACTAAACCAAGAGGTATTTAAATGTGCACCTCACAACCTATCAGGAAAAAGTCAACGCAAGGTCACCTCTTGATGCCATCGGATCATCCAATGCATGTGGGGCCCTACACCAAAATCTTCGCAATATTTGGTGTTGATTAAAATCAGATTTTTAATAAATTTTGATAAAAATTGATGAAACGTGTGATTAAAAAATTGCGGGACCTATGAAATATGTTATTAAAATTTATTGTTGACTTTTCAAAATAAAATTTGAATTTTAAACGAGTTAATACTGTGCTCCATATGCATATATGAGCATATCCCTGCTCTTCTTTACCGGTGACGGGAAGTCCTACTTTAAGCTTTTGAATGGCGGAACCTTACTTAGCCCCTGTTTGGTCAGATTGATTTTATTTCAAGTTAAAGTCAAACAATCAATATTAACCACATCTTTCATGAGTTTCACAATTTTTCAACCACACATTTCAAAAATTTCTATCATAATCTACTAAAAATCAAATTTTAATCCATACCAAACACATCTTATTATTGTTCTTGATCTGTAAGCCAATTATATTTTGCTACGTAGGACAGAGATTCATGGATATGAGCAGAGGATTACCTCCCAAAATTTCAAATTGTCTGAAAAATTTATTGGGTTCCAAGGGTAATCTGGTCATTCAACCACCTGAAAANAAAAAAAAATTTTAAAAGGGATTAGGCGGGATAATGCACGCCTAGGCGCGCATTAGGCACGCCTAGGCGCACATTATCCCGCCTATGCGTGCATTAGGCGCACCTTTTAGATGGAAAACACATTTTTTGCGCATTTCCTGAATTCGACGCTTTTTCGGTCCGCGTCGCGCCTAGGCAGCGCATTTTGGCGCTTTTTAGAACATGGCTTTTAGACCCACAAATACTCAACTAAACCAAAAGGCATTTAAATGTGCACCTCACAACCTATTAGGAAAAAGTCAACGCAAGGTCACCTCTTGATGCCATCGGATCATCCAATGCATGTGGGGCCCTACACCAAAATTTTCGCTATATTTGGTGTTGATTAAAATCAGATTTTTAATAAATTTTGATAAAAGTTGATAAAACGTGTGATTAAAAAATTGCGGGACCTATGAAATATGTGATTAAAATTTATTGTTGACTTCTCAAAATAAAATTTGAATTTTAAACGAGTTAATACTGTGCTCCATATGCATATATAAGCATATCCCTGCTCTTCTTTACCGGTGACGGGGAGTACTACTTTAAGCTTTTGAATGGCGGAACCTTACTTAGCCCCTGTTTGGTCAGATTGATTTTATTTCAAGTCAAAGTCAAACAATCAATATTAACCACATCTTTCATGATTTTCACAATTTTTCAACCACACATTTCAAAAATTTCTATCATAATCTACTAAAAATCAAATTTTAATCCATACCAAACACATCAATTTTATTATTGTTCTTGATCTTTAAGCCAATTATATTTTGCTACGTAGGACAGAGATTCATGGATATGAGCAGAGGATTACCTCCCAAAATTTCAAATTGTCTGAAAAATTTATTGGGTTCCAAGGGTAATCTGGTCATTCAACCACCTGAAAAACTTGAATATAAGATAAGGAATGGTACAGCCACGTCATCAATCCAAGTGAATCTGATGAAAATAATTTATACCGTCGGATAAAGTTGAAACGAAAAATCCCTACCCGTTGATGTAATACAAAAAACACTCAATCCTCCTCTTCGTTTTTTGCTCAGCTCCGATCTATTTACCTTTTTAAATCCCTTCACTTCACTGAATTTTCTACTTCAAAATTTCATTTACTCTACAGTTCCCACCTACTGAAAATATTTTCCCTCTCAAAATTCTCTTTCTTTCTGTACAATTCAAATTTTTCTGTTTGTAGTATTCGGATTTTATAGATATGGCGGCTGAAGAACAGCAGAGTAATGATCCACTACCTCCGAATCATGCTCAGCCACCGTCTCCGGCGCCGGCTATAGCTACTGGTGCACCTCCTGCCGCTTTGCCTCAGTATCCAGAGGTACAGAGCTAACCCTCTTTGTTTTTTTGTTGGGTTGGTTGGTTAATTTTTGTGTGCTTCGAATTTTAAAGATTTTTGGTGAATTTACTATGCAATTGTTGGAATTTTTTATTTTCCTTTGTGGGTTTATTTTTGGACTTTGAAATCTACATTATAAATTTTTCGTCACCGTGTAAAATTGAGGTAAAATTCCACGTATAAATTTGAGCATCTCTAAGCTTCAAATTTGTGCTTAAACTCAAACCCTTTTTTTGCAGTTGATTATGAATGCAATTGAGGCGTTGAACGATAAGAATGGCTCAAACAAATCAGCAATTTCAAAGCAGATTGAGGCAACCTATGGAAACCTTCCACCGGCCCATTTAACCCTTCTTTCTCATCACCTCAACAAGATGAAGGCCAGCGGACAGCTCCTTTTTGTGAAGAACAACTACATGAAGCCGGGCCCAGATGCCCCGCCTCGCCGCGGCCGTGGCCGTCCACCTAAGCCGAAGATACCTCTTCCACCCGGCACCGTTCTTCCTCCTCCTCGACCCCGCGGCCGCCCGCCGAAATCCAGGGATCCCAATGATCCGCCTCCTCCTCCTAAGCCGAAAGCTGCTTCTGGCAAGAAACGTGGACGACCGCCGAAGGTTTCGAAAACCGGTGTTTCTACGCTGCCGCCGCCTTCAACCGCAATTGGAGCAGCAAGTGGGGTGCCAAGAGGCCGGGGAAGACCACCGAAAGTGAAGCCAGTCGTGGCTGCTCCGGTAGGGGCTTGATTGCAATAAAACCAGTAGTCAGGGGCTTTACTGCTAATTGTTGTTTCTATTTGTAATTTAATTTTTTAGTCCTTGTAGTTCGGGTTAATTTTAATTTAGGTTGTGATTGAGAATGAGTGACTTTGATAATGTTGTTGTAAATGAATGGAGCGGCAATTGATGCAAAGTGATCTTTTGGACATTGTTTTCTAAAAATCTCTTGTTATTTTAGCTAAGCATAAAAACTTAAAAGTACTTTATTAAGTGGGCATCTTTGGTAAGGAAATGTAGCTTTCTTCAAATTGGGAGATTCGAGCAAATGCGAGTCTCAAATTTTTTATGAAACTAAAATTGAAGGGGCTAGATTTTTTGTTTGCTTCTTTTGTACATGTTAGTTTTCTATCACTTGTAACACGAGTTAATTGTTTCAATAATTACTAAGGGCCTGTTTGATTCTTAATAATGAGAATGAAAAATATAATTGTTGTTGGACTTTACACAAGAGGTAAAAATTCAAAATTGATGGTTTGATATGATAAATAATGGTCATATAGGTTGATATCTTTGATTATTTATTACAATTTTAGATGAAGTTTTAGCTATTAAACTTTTTCAAATGTTGGAAGTCGGATGTTATTAGTTGGGATGATTTTCATTTTGCATTTGTAACGAATAGTT